AATAATTCCAAGTGAAAATAAAGTATTCTACAGTATTAACAATTGCCCTTAGTTGAACTCTTTAGTGGGGTCTTAGGACTTTTATGTGAAATATATGACAGTCTGAATATACATACATTCATATTACGCAAATGAGGATTCACCAGGATTCTGTGTTGAATTACATGTAGGTTGCAGTACAGGTAATTCAGAATCTTTGTGAATCTGAATCTTTGTGAATACACACACAATGGAAGCTGAAATGATTACCGGTAGCAGCGTTCACAAGCTGAATAAACATTGAAATTTGAACATTATACTTCCTGTAATTTCTGCAAATTCAGACCATCAATTATTTCACATAATAGTCTCAACACTCAAAAAAAGCCCAATGAATGCTCTCAGAGAACAACTTTAAACAGAATTTTTTTTATTCTCATGCATAATTAACCTGTCCTGTATTGTAAGACCAATCTATGCGGTCACTGTACACTATAGTTTGACTGTAGTCTCAATTTTGATCAATCGCATAGCACATTTTTTTTCTTTGTCAATTTCACAGACATAATGGTTAAAATCTCAATATTTTCATTTTTGATTAATTAAGTAGCACATTTTGTTTTCTCAATTTTACAATCTCAAGTACAATACCTACCTTGCCAGCTACAAATGGGATCTCTGCTAAATTAAGTCTGTAATGTTTGCGAGGCTCAGAATGTGATAGATGTTCATGTTCTAGTTTCTTGCAAGGCACTTTCTTTTTCTTCTTCTTCTTTGGCTTCTTAGTTTTTGGTTCACGAGGCGAGTTTTCAGTTGCTTGAAGAATACGGTTCGCCTCCGCTACTGTCTGCAACTGAGACATTGAATGCAAAATTAGTTGGAAGGATCAACTATAGCCGCACTGGAAATAGCATTCGTAATTGCGCGAGTATTTACCGGTACATATTTAGATTTACAAAATATAAGGGCAAAAATACACCATGATCAGTACCTGCATAACAAATGGGATGAAACATGTCTATAAATAGCTATGACAGGAAGTTTTCATTGTTGCGTGGTGATAAAATGAGAAAGTGTGTAAATTAAATAAATCTTTTTTCAATATTTTAAGTAACACTTCCTGTCCAAAAATGAATTACTGTGGAATACTTTATTTTCGCTGGAATTAATTTTCGCTGAAAAGGCTTTTTGGGCGTTTTGCTTGGAATTTATTTTCACTGATTTTTCATGAGTTTAATGTGGAATATAGGAAAAAAAGTATATTCGCTGGATTTTATTTTCACGGAATCATCCCTTCAGCGAAAATAGCGAAAATAAATTCCAAGCGAAAATAAAGTATTCTACAGTAATCTGAAATCAGGGTCCATGCAATTCAAACTGATATAACGTAATATGATAGTATGCCATAACCAAGATGCGCTCAGACAAAACGATAATATTTACCATACGTTATAACGAGGATAGCGAAAAGTATGCACAAAGACAGTACAGCGAGAGAAATACAAAAAGTTTAGAACAGACTGAGCGTACTTCTTTGTATAGGGTCTGGTCAAACCAGCTGCCATGCTAGTTTAATCATTATTAGAGGACACTTATGCGCGTAATCGTTCCATATTTGGAATTCGCATTTCCTAGTATGGTAGGATGAAAATACCCAATGCAATACCGCAAAATTATGGCATGCTGTAACTTATGGCGTTACGGTGACAGATGTATAAAGTACATGTATTGAAAGCTACATAACATGCATACAGTACATATACATATACATATACTAGTATCTGAGCAAGCCTTGCTGTCTACAGATGGTTTACCATGGGAATTGTCACATTCACACTTTATATCCAGTAACAACATCTGAGCCTGGTTATATACATATCAGTCATCAATTATTTTATTTATTAATTATATTTTGCATAACAATAGGAACATTAAATAACCATATTGAGGCAAAAATCAGACAATTGAAATATAAATTGTCAAATTATGTCTGATTTGGTTTTCAAAACTTATAAAGGACACAACGCAATTTTCTGCGAGGACACTGCACACATACAAAAACATAAAAGTCACAGGAACAAACAGAAGACAAACTTCAACAACCTTTAATTGTGGACCCCTTAATACACCCACATTACAACTGACACATTTAGACAGGGAAGAATGACTGTACCATTAACACATAAACAACAAAAAACGTGGTATAAACCATCTATATGTACATAACACTAGAATCTACATTCAACTTACCTCAGCTGCTTTATCCTGCATCAATTTCCTCCGATGCGTCTCTTCTTTTATTTTCTCTTCTAGTTCACGGATTTTACTCTAATTGGGGTAAAAAAAAAAAAAACTTTCACTGTTAAAGTAAAAATGAAATCACTAAATAATCACTTTACACTGGCCAAGGTTTACTAGCACATTTGTGTCAACAAGCTACCAGTGGTTTCATTAATCACGATACTCCTTGAAGCTGTGAAAATCAATAAAGTGGCTCTGTATAAAAAAAAACTCCCCATTTTAACATCCTCCTAATCTTCGTCACATGCATGTCCCACCTATTTGCACACCCTCCCTCATGTCCTCATTTTGAATATTAAAATATAGTACTACATTTAATTTTAAAACTTCTGAGTATATTACCCACGACGCTAGGCAAATTAAGATATGAACTGACAAGATTCAGACAATGAAATATAATTCAACTCACATCAGCTACAGTCTGTGTTGCTATCAAGCGGGCGTGATCTCGCTCAAGTTGTTCAACTTTGTCGTACTGCATTCTCATATCGTCAGTTTTCCGTTCAGACTGATGCTGTTCTAGAATCTCTGATCGCCGCAGCGCATTATTACGGTCAGACTCGGCGTTCTGCACCATCTTGCGCATATACTCAAGTTGCTTCTCAAGAAGGTTACATCTACTCTCAGCAGCAGTCAGTTGACTTTCAACTTCTGATTGTGCAAAGATAAAATAACAATTTATGTTTAATACAAATGATTTTTTTTTTTAAATGTATCTTTCAAATTTTGCCACAAATTGACTAACATTTCTGTCATCAAAAATTCATAGCATTACACCTTTCGTCCATCAAGGCTGAATATGTTTTCGAGATTTGACTATACTGTAAAATACTTTATTTTAGCTGGAATTAATTTTCACTGAAATAACTTTTTGGGTCTTTTGTGTGGAATTTATTTTCACTGATTTTCGAAAGGTTGATTGTAAAATATAGGAAATAATATATATTCGCTGGATTTTATTTTCACTGAATCATTGCTTTAATATTTTACAGTATTCTAGATAATATAGCATTGTCTACACTTCCTGTAAGATACTTTATTTTAGCTGGAATTCATTTTTGCTGAAATGACTTTTTGTGTGTTTTGTACGAAATTTATTATTGATGAGTTGAATGTGAAATATATAAAAAAAGGTATATTTGCTGGATTTTATTTTCACTGAATCATCCCTTAGCGAAAATAGCGTAAGTAAAACTCAAATGAAAATAAAGTGTTTCCATGTATATCTTTATTTTGATGTTTCAGAAACTGGTCACTAGAGGGCATGATTTATAAGAGTGGTGAATTCAAGCTAGTTTATTTATGTGCAAAATAAACAGTGAATATGCACTCAATTTTATCAACGACAATATCCTCCGGCTTTGTCTTTCAAAATTAAAATGGCTGGTGAGCTAGGAACAGTTATTTTGAACACAACAATGTGAATGATTAGAGCTGTGATGTAAAAATCTCTTCAAAATGATCTGTTTTTACAGTGATAGGTGAGTGGAGTGATCACTTGAATGAAATACCATGCATCACCAATTAAGATTATGATGAACATTCATGAGTATACATGCATATCATTAACCTTTTCAACACCAGTTTCCTATTTTCATCACAAACTCAAAATATAGTCCTGTTTATAGTCTGCACTTTCCTTCACATGATTGGGACACAAATAGCCAAATGTTTTGAACAAAAACTGAAAATTGACTCAAATTTTGTCTGTTGGCTTCAAAATTAGGGTTCACTTCCAGAAAAATGTTGGTGATGAAATGGTTAAATTATTACTTGTTACCACTAGAGGGCATACAAACATTGTCTAGGGGGAATACATTCTACGTATTTTAATGATCTAGAGTGCAATAAAAGGAGATGCTGAATTCTTCAAGTTACGGACAACGAATTGGAAACACCCAGTTAAAAAAATTAAACCACGCCCACTTTTGCGAAACCACGCCTAAATTGATGTTTATTTAACAGTTAAGGGGCGACGTCAAAAGATCGATGTCGGATAAAAAACTTATTTCCTTTAGTTTGGGGGTGGGGGGTTTTGACCTCAAAAATTTTCCATCCTACAAAAACGATTTTATTTTTTAATGAAGTCAAAACAATCTTGGAGTATTTGTAGTTCGTTTTTTCTATCCAATCATGGACAGAAATAACCGAAAAAGGGAAAAAAACACAGAAAAAATAGTTTGGTTAGAGTGTAAATCTGTGCGTCAAATGAGGTGCATTTGTAAAATCTGTTTACACCCACCCGACAACCAACTGCTATGCAATACTACTGTCCGATTATCAATTTGTATTTAATGGTGTATGTAGTCTGACACCATGACCAATATTTATCAATTAAGCTTCTGTGGGGGGTAGGGGGGTTTGGAAAAAAACTAAAGGAATTAAGTTTTTTATCCGACATTGATCTTTTGACGTCGTCCACAACAGAACTTCGAGTTACAGGAAACGTATATATTTATTTTTGTTAAATGTCCAAATTTAGTAACTCAAGTTTAATTATCAGTTAACCCAACTTTGAAGTATTGAAAATATACAACGTTCAAGAGACATATTCTATGTACATGATTGTAGTGACTTGCTTGGCTGATGGGGTAGGCCGAGTGACCTTGTAAATTTATGTAATATGTCATATGTCACGTCATTATACAATGTACCATCAACACACTCAACAACTTCACGTTACTCACCCTGAGAATGTTTTGACATTTCTGTCTGCGATGTTTTCGTCACAGTGTTTCCCTTCTGCAGTATTTCTTTATATTCCGTGGTCTCAGTAGCGAGCGTTTTTAGATTCTCCTCGGCCATTGACCTCTCAGACTCTAGCTTGCGTATTTTATCCTGCAAGCCCCTCAACGCCGAAATGACAGCTTTTCGGAGATAAATGAAGAAAGCAATTATTATTCTGAATTAGTAATTCAGTATTCAATTTGTTTGAACAATGATGACAAATACTGAATATTATGCTACTTATAACCCCGTCAACCGAATGTGACCTATGAAGACCTTTTCATTGCCATTGTCAACAATAAAATAGTCCTGCTTCAAAACTGGCAGTTGCCATAGAACTTTTTGGTTGAAACTGAAATTCTCACAGTGCAAATTTATGTTAGTGAAAGTCACAGAAAAATCCAAAATAATTGCACCGGAATTTTAGAAAAACAAGTCATTGTCAATGACACGTCCCCGTTCCGTTCATATTTGAGTGACATATACATTCAAAGCAGATCATGACCGAAATGCACCTGCATATGTACAATACATTGTGCTAAATCTGAACAAAATCCATCCATGCATGACTGAGATCCGGTTCTGGAATTGTGAAAATACGTGATTTTGATGCATTTTCGGCCTTAAAATGGCCATCATTCCGCTATTGTTAAGCAGATCATGAAACAAATGCACATATCTATTTGTGACATGATGTACCATGTGTGTGTGAAGTTTGAACTTGATCAATCCAGACATGTCTTGGATACGGATCCAGAACTGAATTCTTTAACAAAATGGCCGCCAGTCGGCCATTTCGAACTTGATCCGAAAAAAAAAATGATGTGCAT